GGGACCCCTAAAGCTCCTTTAAAGGGACCCCCCTTAGAGTAAGGACCCCTCTCAGTGCATCTCGAAGTGCGAAGCACGGATTCGAGGTTTAGGGCCGAAGTGCACCGATGCGGCTGTGAAGCAGGACCCATTTTTAGGCTCTCTCTCTCTCCCTCCATTCCCAACCCCTAACCTCTAAACCCCAAAAAGACGCGGAACCGTGGCTTACTCCGTGGGCAGATGCAGAGACTCCAATATCCCTTAACTAAGGAATATTCCTTAAATCATATTAGGGATCCCACCAGAATTTAAGGTATATTCCTGAATTAAGGTATCTTGGAGTCTCTGGGTGGTGCAGTTCAGGGTTTTGGGGTTCAAGGGGGTGTAGGGTTTTAGGGGTCTGGGGGTTTCAGGGGTTTTAGGGGTCTTAGGGGTTTTTAGGGGTTTTAGAGGTTAAGGGTTTAGGGTTTCTAGGGGGTTTTAGGATTTAGGGTTGAGGCTCAATGGGAGTTCAGAAGCCACAAGTCCAGGAACTACTGGGAAGCCTGTTAGTTGGAGGAGAGAGGGAAAATTAGGGATACCTTGTTTGGGGGGTCCCTATAGTAAAGATCCGCCTCTTTAGGGTACTACATTAGGGTCCCCTATTTTGGGAAGCTCCCATGGATGTTTGCTGCTGCGATTTAGTACACTCTCCCCCCCCCTTTGAGCTGGGGAAGCCTTCAAACTTGCAAGAAGCACAGAACTGATAATGCATCAGTACCACAAGAAAGTTGCTTTTTCCCTTCATCCGTCAGTCATAAACTCCGAAAGCGAAAACTCCTAACTCCTTTCCCATTGGTTGTTCTCTCCGCACCTGCACAGCCCTCCCCGGAGTCCTCAAGCGCATAAGCGCGTCTTAAAGAAACGTTTGAGGAACCTTTTATGGGAAGCCTTAACGGAACCTTCAGTGGAACTCCCAAAGAAAGCCTTACAGGAATGATAGGCCCGGCTGAACTTCTAGCCCCACACAGAGCCCAACACCCCCTGAATCAAGCAGCGTACCTTAGAACCATACGATACCTGAAGCATCGTGGGACTTAGAGACTAGGTCTCGAAATAAGGCGACAGCAAGTACAACTACTTAAGGTTTTAAGACTTCAAAATACTGTGGACGAAGTTACGGACCATTCCTGTTTCAAAGCCATTTTGAGGCTCTCTCTCTCTCTCTCTCTCTCTCCCTCCATTCCCAACCCCTAACCTCTAAACCCCAAAAAGACTCTGAACCGTGGCTTACTCCGTTGGCAGATGCAGAGACTCCAATATCCCTTAATTCAGGAATATTCCTTAAATCATATTAGGGATCCTACTAGAATTTAAGGTATATTCCGTAATTCAGGTATATTGGAGTCTCTGGGGATGCAGGAGTATATGCAGTGCCTCTCCACGATCATGCCAGAAGTACTCTTCCACCTGTCGGGGCCCTACTTGGAGGGTCTTTAGGGACTTAGTAAGTAGGGGCTCCTTTAAAGGGGATTCTAAGGGTTCCTTTAAAGGGCTCTATAGGGTTACTATAGGGTTTAGGGTTTAGGGTTCAGGGACTTAGTAAGTAGGTAGTAAGTAGACTTATAAGTCCGTAAAATAACCAGTCACTAAGTCCCCCGACCCTCCAAGTAATATACGGGCCTTGATCATTAGAATAGGGTTTTGGGGTATTCTACTATCATCATAATGAGGAACCCTCATAATAGTATAGGAATGGTTTAGGCCCCAATATATACCAGCTGTCGCGGCCATACGTGGCTGCCGATTGGGATTGGGGTTTAGGGTTTCGGGCCATACGGGGATAACAGAGGGCCTGAAATGCTTGAAGGACTCGTAACAGGATTTAGGGTTCCCTTGATCTGCATAACTTCCCAAAGCTAGCTCACGCAAGCCGTAGGGGCTTGAAATAGCCAGCACTAGTATTTTAGCAATGGCAAGACTTAGACAGTAGCATGCAGCGACACCGCTCAGAAACCCTATTGTCGCTTGGAGTGACCAGATAGCCAACCATGTAAAGCTTACAGAAACCTTTGCACAGCCAGAACAAACTTCAGAAAGCCCAGAAGCCAGGTATGGAAATACTAGCATCAGTCAGCGGCGAACCTTCAGAAGCTTGAGACATTTGTGTCCACCTCGGACGACGTTTGAACAACATTCTACAAAGCCACAGCCGGAGCTCGTAGGGTTACATAACTTGGTAACCCTAAAACACAAGTTCCTCACTAAAACTTAGAACTACATTAGAGTATGCCTAAGCAGCCAGACTGTATTTCACTTGCTAATGCCGCCCTAAACCCCAGAACCCTAAACCTCGTTGCATTATCCCTAGCCGCATCCTGCCCCCCGCCACTATAGTCTCCTTGAGAACCTCTTTATCATTTTGTTCATATAAAGCCCGAGAGAACATTAAAAAACAAACAGCTGAGGGGTGTACTTGGAGGTTCATGGGTAGTTGTAAGTGGGGTTATAAGTAGGGTATCTATGATCATATCCCATGTATGGGGGACTTCTAACTCCACTTATAACTACCCACCAGAAGCCTCCAAGTATAGAGAAAAAGCTCAGTGCCCAGGCGGGATCAGAGCACCGCCGTGCGCGATTCGGCCCGGGAGTCCTTGCACATCGCAGCGACCACGGCCATGAACCAGGACGGTATATTATGTATATAGACATAACACTACGTTATGAATATATACTTGTATATACATATATGTACATACATGTAACGCTATTTCTGTATACATATATATACACACACATATTATATACATATATATATATATATATGTATATATATATATATACATATGTAAATCTGTATCTTTGTTACACTATAGAGGCAGTTTAAGGTTTACAGTCTACAGCTTAGGGGTTCAGGGTTCAGGTTGACAGTCTAGGGCCCCTGGAGACTGAATTCTCAGAGGGTGTCTTTACTCGCTGCTTGTTGCTGCCTTTGGGATGGCGATTTCCTTAACTTCGTGTAGGGTTTTTCCAGGCTTGTCTAGGCTTTAGACAGGGTTCTTTGCATGGAGCAAAAAGCGGACGGGTTGGCCTTGTGCTGGTGCAACTCGCTTGCTACTTAAAGGATCATGGGACTTAGTAATTGAGGTCATAAAGAAGGTAACTCCAGTTATAATTACTTGGAATCCCAATTAAGGTACTCATAACCCTACTTACTAAGCCCCATGATCCTTAAACCCTTATGGTACCCCTTATAGATCCCTTTAAAGGAACCCTTTAAGGAGCCCTACTTACTAAGCCCCATGATCCTCCAAGTAGAAGAAGCAGAAATCCTACTGCAGTCTCGGATCAGGAAGGCCTTTCCTGCTGTGACTATGACGGCCCTCTTGTGGGCTCTCTTTCCTGAGTGACCCAGGAACTTACGTTTGGTTAGTAGGGAATGGAGGAATGGAGTACAATTATAACTACTATTTGTAACATTCTTCCATTCCCTACTAACCAAAGGTAACGCAGGGCCGTAGTTGCTGTGATTCCCTTGTTTGAGTGGTGGATCCCTTCTTCTCGTGTGCAGGAGCTGCAAACAGAAGTCATCACGCAGCTTGACTGCGTTTGGTCGGACATGCATGCACGTGTCAATCCGTGCATATACATGCACTTCTACCAAATCATATATTCACATACACCTCCAATATATATATATATATATATATATATATATATAGATATTTATCATATCTGATATTATGTGTGTGTATATACAAATATATACATATATAATTTTAGCGTACAAACTCCAAAGCTGATTTCTCCCAGGCTCGTCTCTGCCGGCCTAGCGGGCCTCAGCCGCCACGCCAAAGCCGCCGCGCTGGACGCGTCCCGGAGCCCGGCGGTGGAGGGGTCCTTACTTGGAGGATCATGGGATTCAGTAAGTAGGGCTCCTTAAAGGGTTCCTTAAAAGGGGGATCTATGAAGGGTTTCTGAAAGGGTTTCTATAAGGATACTTGGAGGATCATGGGACGTAGGAAGTAGGGTTATAAGTACCTTAATTAGGGTCATATGTACTTATACGTATAGTTACCTTACTTCTAACCCCAATTACTCAGTCCCCTGTTCCTTTAAGCAAGGGTTCCTTTAAGGATTCTATCGGGGTTTAGGATCCCTTTAAAGGGATCTATGAGGGCTCCGTTAACTCGCGGAGGGCTCCTCAAACTTTAAGGGCTCCTTTAGGGGTTTCTACAAGGGATCTGGGTACAGAGCCACGGTTTCGAGTTTCAGGTTTTTAGGGTTTAGTTTTTAGGGTTTAGGGTTTTAGGGTTTTGGGGTTTGGGCTTTAGGGTTTAGGGTGTCAGGGCGTTAGAGTTTTCGGGGTTCGGGGTTTGGGGGAAGCGAAGGGTGTCGGACGGTTTAGGGTTAGGTAATCGGGGAACAAAAGAAAATAGCCATAGTAATATTAGAAGTAATAATAAGAAGACGGAATAGAAGTGAGGATCATAGTGAGAATGGGTCGGAATCGAAGGGTGCAGGGCTTAGGGCTTTAATGTTTAGGGCTGTAGGGCTGGGGGCAGCGAAGGGTGTAGGATCTGGGGAGCTACAGTCGTCGTCGGAGTGAGAGTGCGTCGTAGGTAGTAGGGGTACTGTTGCATGACCCATAATACCATAATTCCCACAGTTTCGGGTCCAAAAGGTCATGCAGGATTTATACCATCAACCGTAGTCGTCGTCGTCGCCTTTGTGGTCCTGGTGGTGAGCAGAAGGAGTAGCAGAAGCAGTAGTAATCGAAGTCGGTGGTGTGGGTTTAGGGTTTAGGGTATCAGCAACTGCAGCAGCAGTGGCAGTCGTCGTCGTCACTGTGTCGTTGGCGCTGCTGCGCTCTGGGAACAGAAAACTAGCTCCGAATCCGAAACCCTCAAAGCCCTAACCCCCTACGGCCCCTCAGCCCTATAATGGACCACAACTAAACTTTGGTGTGTGCCTTTGCCCACAGCTCTTACAGCTCACGGTCGGAACTTCTCATGCCACCTCGCCACCTTGCAGCCATGATGGTCACAAGCATGATCTTGTTGGGGTGACTGGGCAGCAGCGATTGTTTCGAGGCTTTCGGCTTGGGGGCGTAAGGCACCTGTTGTTTTCTGAACTGGGGCTCGCATAGTATAGGTAATTAATAGTATAGGTAATTAATAAGGCCCATGATAGGCTGCTAACAGATTCGAGTTGTCTGCGACGGCTACCACAGCATTCCCGGGCTCGGGCTCGTAACACAGAGTGATACTTGGAGGATCATGGGACTTAGTAAGTAAGGTTATAAGTACCTTAATTGGGGCTATAAGTACAGTTGCCGTAATTATAACCCTAGTTACTAAGTCCCTATGATCCTTGAAGTAGGAGATTCTGTAAGTTTCGGTTGCTTAGAGACCACCGTCAAAGGCTTGCCTTGATCAACATGTAGGTGGTTGTCAAAGTTATGGCCCCTTTTTGGGTCCTTATTATAGTACGGCACCTAATGTTTAGGGGACCCAAAAAGGGACCCTAATTTTGACAACCACCCATGTGCCTAATGGGTGCAGTCTGCGATGATATTTCAAAATCACAGGCTCAGCAGACGATGGGGCATGGATAAATGCATGCAAGTATCGTGTTTGCATGGTTGGCAGCACCATACGTCTTTTTATCAGGCCATACAATATAACCTCAGGTCATACAATACAACAGAACAAAGTCATCGGTTCGAGATGCTGCATTGTGTTTAGTGTTGTACACACAAACACACACACACACACACACACACACACACACACGCATCTTATGCTCTGGCACACGTTCAAGTATTACGAAGTCTTGAAGGGTTCATCTCCTTCAGACGTATACTTTTTACCGGGTGATCGGGCGTCTCTTGAGCAACCGAACTCAGGATCACCCTCTCGACGGATGCTGCGACCCAGCTGATGAGCAGAGCCCATTTCACAAAATCTGTCTTGTTCTCGTCGCCTTCGTGTTCAGTCCTGTAACATGACTTTCAAGAATCGGCAATGCGCGCAGGCTCTCAGTCCGATTGCAGCTCGTGCGTTGGCTTTTTCGCGACCAACACTGCTGTCGCGGCTGCTGTCGATGGTAGCTCGTTCCTTGTGGTTCCCATCGTCTTCTTGCTTAGTCTCTCGTTCTTGTGGTTGATGCTGTTTTGTCTTGTTTCTTAGCGATGCATCTCAGTCTGTTTCGATTGTCGTCGTTGCGACTTGCGTGTCGGCTTTAAACCACGACCATCAATTCGCAACCTCTCTTTCGGTTGACTAGTTGCAAATCTTCCGGACGTTTGCTGCACGGTAGAGGAGCAAATAGATTTGAGTTTTTGGGCTGTTTTCTGGAGCCTGTGGGCCGCGGTACTTGCAAGAGGATAGTTGGGACCTGATTCCACAGCCTTTGCGGGACGCTTCAAGTAACTCACCTCTTTGGGCGAGGCTTCACGAGAAGCTGCCAGCTGCTCCCATCTCTCGAAGGATACCTGGCTTACCTTTGGTTAGTAGGGAATGGAGGAATGGGGTACAATTGTAACTACTATTACTACCATCCTTCCTTTCCCTACTAACCAAAGGTAAGCTGGTGGGAGCTTTGGGTTGTCGGGCCTGTCGGGTTTGGGGTTTAATCTAGGAACCTGATTAAGAAACCCTGGGCCCATCACCCCAATATAGTAGGATTCATACAAGGAACCCTAATAAAGGCCCAAGGATTCCTAATCAGGTTCCTATATTATTATAGTACCCATATACATCCCTTCTAGAAACCCTTATAGACCCCTTTTAAAGGAACCCTAATGGTTCCTACATTATGGCTTCATGGCCGCAGAGCTTCCGGGCTTGGGAAGAATCGGGTTCCCCCCGACTTATCCCAGAAGGTTGACCTTGAGAACCTTCCCGCCTCCATGAACCCAGACTTCGAAAATAGGGGTCCCTACTATGGTACCCTAAATAGTAGGATCCTTATTATAAGGACCCCAAAATTTTGGGACCTCCGTGTTCAATATCCCTTCATTAAGGAATATACGGTAAAGTATAGTAGCATCCCTAATATGATTTAAGGAATATCGCTCAATTAAGACTTCAATATGGGAGTTTCCGAAAATTAGGGGTACCTTTATAATAAGGATCCTACTATTTGGGGTACTAGATTAGGGTCCCCTATTTTCGGATACTCCCATATCCTCAATTAAGGAATATGCCTTCGATTATAGTAGGATCCCCAATATGATTTAAAGGACTATTCCTTAATGAAGGAATACTGGAGTCTCTGGGAAGCCGGGAAAGCAGCTCAAGCTTGCTGCAGCCTGCCGGACCCCTGACTTTAGGATTGGAGTCTTGTGGCACAAGAGGATCTCTGAAGGTTACTTCTGTTGATGATATGAATCCTGCATTACCTTAAGGAGCCTTAACTATGGGGATTAAGGTATCTTCCTGATTATGGGTAATGCAGGATTTATATCATCAACCGTTTCACGTCCCACTAAAGGAACCTTTAGAAGAACCCTTGAAGGGTGCCATTTTGGGCTTAGCCCTAGAAAGGCGCACGAGACAAAGAGAAAGCAGGAGGTGGCCTCCATCCCGCGAGAAAGCTGAAGCATGCGACCTAAGTAGAGTAATATAGGGGCATGAATAATTACCAACACGATGTTGGAGGTTCCTTGTTAGAAATATGTAGTATAATAGGCCCCAAAGCCCTATTCTAACTATTAGGGCCCCTAAAGTAGGTAATCTGTAGCCTGTTTTGGGGGTACTATCACCCCCATGTAATCCCGATACACTCCCTAAGGTGACCGTTTGTTCCCCAGGATATTCGACAAGTAGGTTAAGCTGAAGGTCTAGCGTGTAGGGCAAAGTATAGGGAATTCCAGCACAAATCATCCTAAATCCATGTTCGATGCTTCTGGGATGCACTAGAACGGCATTTGCAGAATGGTTGGTTGAGGCTTAGGGTGGCTAAGGCTAAGGCCCTTTACATTGATCATAATGAGGGACCTATTATAGCCTACAACCTCACCGAGAAGCGCCCCAAACCTCATTTGGCAAAAGCTCCTCCACACAACGCACTTCGAACCGGCAGAAACCCCAAACCCTAAACCCCCTAAACCCTAAACCCTAAAGCGGCAGGGCGACGATGCGAGCCTGTTGCAGCTCCGCCCCAGCCAAAACATCTCAGCGCCCCAGTGCACTGCGAACAAAGAGGACACTCACCTGAGGCGAAAGCTCACGACTACTACTCGGAGGATCATGGGATTTAGTAAGTAAGGTTATAAGTACCTTAATTGGGGTTATAAGTAGTTATAAGTAGAGTTACCCTAATTATAACCCTAGTTACTAAGTCCCATGATCCTTTAAGTACGGCTGATGGTATAAATCCTGCATGACCTTACGGACCCTAAACTATGGGAATAATGGTATATTCCTTACTATGGGTAATGCAGGATTTATAGCATCAACAGTATCATGTATAATCCCGCAAGTGATGCCAACGCAGCATAGCGCAGACGTCTCCGTTAGTCGATGTTTCGATCTTCAGGGTTGGAGTCTGTGCGAATTTTCGGCTGATGGGTCGGAGCTGCTGGCATCAACTGGATCCGGAACCCAGAGATTCCAGTAGCCCTTAACTAAGTTTAAGGTATATACCTTAGTAGGATCCCAATATATGATTTTTAGGGATTCTTCTTGAATTAAGGGGTATTGGCATCTCTGGGAACCCTGGCTCCTAACCAAGTCTCAACTTCCAACACTCTGATTCCCATGTGTAGGTCTTGGGCCTTTGGTGCTGCAAGCTGTTGCGTTAAACTTACCTTTGGTTAGTAGGGAATGGAGGAATGGGGTACAAGTATAACTACTATTGCTACCATATCCAAAGGTATGTAAAGGGGTTGTACCGGCTGGTGGTGGGCCGCGGGAGTTCTTCGGCTGTAGGGCTTTCATCTTTGAGGATTCAAGGTTCTAGCTTCCGGCAGGTTCTGCAACATGCCTCTGCAGAGCTATGGAGGATTGATTTGGGTTTTGTCCGTCTGCGTGCGTTAGGGCCTTGTGGACCAGCATCAGGGTCCTCATCCGTGATTTCCCAGAAAGATGCTCAATATTCCCGAAACCCCGAACTCTAAACCCCTGAATCCTCCCCTTGCTTTAACATACCTCAAGTAATGGTTTTAGGGTTCAGGGATTCGGGTTTAGGTTTTAGGGCTTAGGGTTTAACATACCTTCAGTTATAGCAGGACCCGTAATAGGTTTTAAGGAATATTCCATCATAATTAAGGGTTCCTCTGGAGTCCTTGGGATTAGGGGCTGTTGCCTCTGCTTGGAGGATCATGGGACGTAGTAAGAGTACTTATAACGTTAGTTACCTTACTGATATCCGCAAATACTACTTGGAGGGGCAGGGGACTTAGTAAGTAGGATTATAAGCAGGGTTATAGTTGGGGTAACTCCATTTAGGGTACTTATAACTCTACTTATAATCTACTTACTAAGTCCCCTGCCCCTCCAAGTAAGTCCCATGATCCTTGCACTGCATCCTCGAGGACCCTTATGCTCACGGCTACCGCATCAACTGCTGCGACGGACTTCAGCCCTTCGCTGCATTTCCTCGGATTCCGCGTTGAGGGTTCTTTTGTCGCCCCTAAACCCCCTAAACTCTAAACCCTCAAACCCTAATCCCTGGACCTCAAGTCATAGGCATGAGGTTTGCAAGAAGGGGGTGGCATGCACTTCGGCTTAAAACGGTGTATGCACGGTCAAAGGAAACCTAAGTTTCATCGTCAACACCCCCAGACCCTAAGCCCCAAATTGAGTGGAAGACCATTCCGAAAACCTTCTTCCTTACGTTGTCTCCACTGAAACAACGCTTTCGCCCTGAAGGAAGATGTCGATGGGGGATCCTAATATTCAGGCCCTTGAGGAAAGGGGCCCGGGTTTTATTCCTAGGGGGTCGACATTAAACCGTGTGAAGCAGAAGCCAGGAACCATCAACGCCTTGAACAAGGGCTGAGCACGAAGCCCCGAAGCACCTTCACCCTTAACCCGGAGACTTCATTTTAGAAAGCAGAACGTAATGCAGGGGCCTCAATATTTAGAAGAGGGTTTTGGGGCCCATTATACTACACTCATAGTGGGGAACCCCCCCAAATAGTATAGGCAATTACTTCGGCCCCTGTAGGAAGCCTTAAAGCCGAGGATGTGCTTGGGGATTCATGGCTCCGGCTGGAGCTACCGATGCTACCATGCATGCGCCGTCTCCTGCACGGACGAAGGCGCGGCTAATCGGTGGTTTAGGGCTTTATGGGGGTTGGTCTGGTTGGGTTTTTGAATGACGTCCAACCAGGTCTCTATGTTTCATCTGTACTCCCGAAATGTACCGAGGACACAAACATTCCGACTGATTCCGACCACATGGACAGCAAGCCCAAATCTGTTCTGTACAAGAAACTAGCATGTTTGATAGACAAAGTCTGTGCAGCCACACACGCCGGTCCTGTTTGGGGAGCGCCATGTTGATTAAACTCATCTTGCCTTAGTTCCTGCACGAATACAGGGGAGCTTGCTGACTAGCCTTGTCATCTACCTGAACACGAAGTCCGAGCAGCAGGGTTGAGTACTTAAAGGATCATGGGACTTAGTAACTAGGGTCATAATGAGGGTAACTCTACTTATAACTACTTATAACCCCAATTAAGGTAATTAAACCTTTACTTACTAAATCCCATGATCCGTATACAGAAGGGGTTTCTCGCATTGTTACAGGCAACTTAGAGGTGCGGGGTGTTTAATCCGAGTGTAGGGTTTGGGGCGTTTTAAACGCCACAATTAAAGGCATTGGAACATGGGGGGGGGGGTGTCCGAAAATAGGGGACCCTAATATAGAAATTGCCTCAAGTAGCAGGATCCTGATTATCAGGACCCCTAGATAAGGTACCCATAAGTTCCGGAAACTCCCACACCCTCCTCCTCTCACGAGATTGCTTGGTTTGATAAAGCTGATGTGTGGGGTTTCTGTGGGGGTGGTGGCTTGTCAGCTTAGGTTTCAAGACTGTTCGAGAAGTTGTGCCTTAAGAAGTGATTGGTCTTGCTGGGGGTTTGGCTCTTCCCTCCAGGAGTTGGCTAAGCAAATCAGATCTAGGGATTCTTTGGAGCTCCTTTCCAGGGCGGCTACTCAATGTGGGACATTTGATAGTCAGAAACGGGTTTCGGGGCATGACATAGGTTAACTGATGAACCTTAAGGCAAACATTGGTTGGTAATTATTCAGACTTTCATATTGAATGCCTTGCCTTCGGACCTGTAAGTGAATACATAGGATTACAGACACCTAAACTTCTTCTGGTGCGACAACTGTCGAAATGCACGCAAGCTGAACCCGCAAACTAGCCGGTAGCCTGCAACCGTCAAGAAGCAGACGCCCAAGCAGAAACCCCGGCTTTGAGAAGGCATGGTTACGGTTAAAAGCCTGGAAGAAGCCTTAAACCCCTACACCCTCATCCCCAAACCCCAAACCCTCAAACCTAAACCCTAATCCCCAAACCCTAAACCCCCAAACCTTAAACCCTACACCCCCAAACCGTAACCCCGAACCCCCAAACCCCACCCCCCTAAACCCCCAAACCCTAACCCCCAAACCCCCAAACCCTAACCCCCAAACCCCCAAACCCTAACCCCCAAACCCCAAACCCCCAAGCCCCTAAACCCCTAAACCCTGAACCCTGAAGCCTGGTCTCAGTCCAGGAGAGCGCACCCACGAGACGGGCAGCTACGTAGCCTGCTGTGAGGGGCTTCAGGCGCATTGCTGGCAGGTCTTAGGGTTTAGGGTTTAGGGTTTAAGGTTTAGGGTTTAGGGTTCAGCAGCTCCGGATCGAGCAGTTTTTACAGTAAAGTAGTGTCTATGGTCTAGACACCCACCCACCCTTAGAATCCCATAACATTTGAAAATAAAAAGTTTAACTTTTATTCACACCTTACAACTACCATTACCGAACTTTAGCACAACATTAAAATTGTTAACATGTACACCTACGTTTCAATAAGCCTTCATCCGATTTTGGCCTTTAACCGAGCTGGAGCCTGCATGTCTGGAACGTGGGCCAGGGGTCTGGTGCGCGCGCAGGGGCCGGAGCTCTGGCCAGCTAAACCCCGAAAATTGCCTTAAACAGGAATTGACATGAAAGTTTAAATATTCATATGATAAAGAGGTTTAGGGTTTAAGGTTAAGCCTTTAGGGTCTAAGGCTTAGGGTTTAGCGTGTAGGGTAGGGTCCTACTTAACGGATCATGGGACTTCGCAACTTAAAGAGCTCCTTAAGGGATCTATGAGGGTGTGGGGTTTAAGGATCATGGGACTTAGTAAGTAGGGTTGTAGGCAAGGGAACGACAGTTATAAGTACAGATAACCTTAATTAAGGTACCTATGCCCTACTTACTAAGTCCCATGATCCTCCAAGTAGGAGCATAGCATCGGCGTCGGAGTAATGACCGCTACTATTCCTCAGCGTTCCTCTTGTGGCACTAGCATCATGTACCCAAGAACCCTATTCTGATCATGAAGGCCTTGATACTGTATTAGGGCAATTTGTGCCAGGGACGAGGAGTTTCCGAGGAAGTGCGCTTCTAAAGTGCCGCCTCGACTAGACACTCTTATGGAGCGCTACGGTTGATGATATAAATCCTGCACTACCTTAAGGACCCTAAACCTTAGATCCCCAATACCCAACCTTTAAACTTTTTGGGTCCTGATGGTTTAGTAGGAACCGGAAAGATTAACCTTTTGTTTCTGCGGCTTATTGGGGAAGTAAGAAACTCTATTATGGGTAATGCAGGATTTATATCATCAACCGTATTGCGAGGCCCTCCCAAGAAGCCGGTGCACGAGCAATCGAGGGTTGAGACAATCAGCCTCTGAACACTTGTCGTGGGCCAAAGCTTCCACACGGCATATTCGTACGAGGATGATGGCTCGCCCGTGTTTGTGCTCGCGTCAGGTCCCGGGGATCAAGACTTTCGAAACGGAGCCCCGACGAAAGCCTGTCATGTTGCCGTCAGCCATGCGGAACTGTGCATGGCTCAAGGCTTGCGGTTTTTGGCTCTTCAGGGTTGGTATGGCCTGAATTCTGGCTGAACAGGGGAGAGTACACGTATGCAGCCGGTCACTACGAGCCGTCTCCCCAAGAAGACAGAGGCCATGACCTACACACTTGAAAAGATTCGTCCAAAATCAATCCTGGCAGCTTTTGCTTTTGACGCCATGCTCACCGTGTATGGAATCAGCAAGGTAGCGTACCCCGAAGCGTTGTCCCGATTCCTACACGGTACTCGTACGGTCGCAGCTGCCTCCTTTGAACCGTACATGGGCCGTAATATAGGGGGCCCAAATAATTGTCAATACTATTCTCATTCTGGGGGTTCCTAATTATAAATATAGCATAGTGGGCCCCAGAGCCCTATTCTAATTATTAAGGCCTCTACGTTACATGGACCGTACACGATCTGCAGGAATGCCCTGGGGACTGGCGCCCCATCTGCATTTGGGGCGACAGGGCCTGGGCTTTCGGATTTGCCTTTACAGTCTTTTAGTACTACGGTTGATGGTATAAATCCTGCATGACCTTAAGGACCCTAAACTATGGGAATTATGGTATATTCCTTATTATGGATAATGCAGGATATATATATATATATATATCATCAACCGTACCATTACCATTGCTATTACTCTTGCTATCTATTGCTATTACCATAACCAGTACCATTACCATTAATTGCTACTATAACTCCTATTTCTAACACTTATACTGTTTTACTTGGAAGATGTGCCGTCGGGACGCTGCGGTGCTGTAAGGATTCCTGTTGAGCAGCTCCTGAACTTTAGGTCTGCGTCAAAGGAGGGTTGTTTTCCCGGGCATCCGAATATTTCGGGTCTATAACTTGGGTTATGAGGTTTGGGATTTTGGGTGTGTGCTTTTCCACATCATCTAACTAGTAAGATCTACGGGAAAAAGGAATGGGTTTGTTTCCTACAGGTGTATTTGTTGGAACCTTCTTCCTACATTGCTGTCCCTTATCCTTCTGAGACTGGGAACTCGTGCGTATAATGATTATGGTGATGTTTTTCCGTATCAGTACCATTAGTGCAACTATTAGACTATTATTATCATTATTGGAAGTGTTATTACTATTAGTATTATTATTATCATGAGTAGTAGTAGTAGTAGTAGTAGTAGTAGTAGTAGTAGTAGTAGTAGTAGTAGTAGTAGTAGTAGGCGTAGTAGTAGTAGTAGTAGTAGTAGTAGTAGTAGTAGGAGTAGTAGGCGTAAAATAGTAGTAGCAGTAGTAGTAGTAGTACTAGTACTAGTAGTAGTAGTAGTAGTAGTAGTAGTAGTAGTAGTAGTAGCAGCAGCAGTAGCAGTGGCCGTGGCTCGTTCATACGAAAGCGCCATTAAACAGTTTTCTGCTTCTTCTTGTTACGCTTGTTATTGTTATTGTTGTTGCTATTACTCTTATTGTTCTTGCTCTTCCTGTTATTGACCTTATTAAGGCCCCGAGATTCGATGCTCTCTGCAGTCTCGTCAGGTGTGTGTCTGTTGCCTTCTGTGCTCCGGACGATCTAAAGGTTGTAGTTGTCCAGTTTGCGCTTTCGGGTTTTGAAGATTGAAATTTGAGCTCCTGTGTCGGGGTGCACCGATCCGAACCCAAGCGGTGAAATCTGCAGCCCCAAAGACGGTCTCCGTTTCTGTCGTTTGCTTGAGCAGGTATTCTGAGGCACTGTCAACGCAGGCAGATGTAAGCCTTAAACCCTACATCTTGAGCCCTCTATCCCAACCCCAAACAAACTCACCACCCAAATTTTTCAATGCGAGGCAGATGAACGGTGATGTCTCCGATCGATGCTATCGGCAGTGTGACATGGGCACCTATCATCCGCACTTCGACACCACACCGGATCATCTCAACATCTCAGCCCGCGCACGCGGAATCCGAGGCCGACGCGGGAGTCACATTCATACACCGTTGAATAACCCCTTCCCCACCCTTAGCCTGGTTCATCCGGTTTTCTGAAAACTGGAAGTTTCTTTTTTTCGTGCCGTGTAAGGTGGAAAGGTCGCGGGGTTGCGAGTTCTACAGGACTTTATGAAGAAGCGGCTGCGGCGTGCGATGCAGTCGCACGTCTCTCAAGTAAACCGCCTGCTCTCCGCCGGCAGGCAACGGTGGCAGCATCTCCGACAATTTCTACCTGGTCATCGACTCAGTCCCTTAGTCTCCGCGGGGCTTCAGCATGTTCATTACTCCTACAGGACAATCGGTGACTCGCATCAGAGACCAGAAGTGATTCTCTTGCGGTTCCTGCTGGATTATACAACAATGAACCCCAAGCCCCGAAACAGGCTGCGAAGCACACTAGAAAGCCCCCTTATGCAAGCCTCAACTTCCTTGGAACCCCCTCAACATCAATCTGTCGCATCAAAAACCCTTGTAGAACCCGTGTAAAGCTATATTATACACCATGTTGCAGTAGGGGCCGGAAGAATCATAGATTGTATTCCTGAAATTTTCGGCCCGCATAGCATGCTCGTAGAGTTGTTACAGGATTCCAAGAGAACTCGAATCCGCTGTTAGTAATCCTCGTAAAAGCCCTCATAAAGCCTGTAAACGAGTAGTCTTAGGATACATGCAGGTTTGAATAGTTGATACGGCTACTCCTTAGGGTTCTGAAATGCAGGTCTAGAGTTCTAGCATTTTAAAATTCAGTTAATATAGGAGCCTGCATCATGAGTCTTCCCACCATGCTAGATACGGAAACCCTCTTCTACTTATCGAGGCCCTAATACTATATACCATGAAAACCAAGTAACCCCCTTGTACAACCCTAAACCCTGAACACAGTCTAAAACTTCTCCTTTAACTACCCTAAACCCTGGACCCTAAACCCTGAACCCGAAACCCAAGACCCTAAGCCCTAAGCCCTGAACCCTGAAGCCCTGAAGCCCTAAGCCCTGAACCCGAAACCCCAAACCCGAAGCCCTAAGCCCTGAACCATGAAGCCCTAAACCCTGAACCCTAAACACTAAAACCCTAAGCCCTGAAGCCCTGAAGCCCTAAGGTCATCGGGGACAACGGAGGCTGTGACGGCGGCTGCTCAGGCTGCTGCGGCTGGCAGCAGCAAGTGGCAAGCAAGATGCTTCTCGTCTTGGCTTTAGGGTTTAAGGGTGTAGGGTTCAGGGTTTAAGGGTTCAGGGTTCAGGGTTTAGGTTTAGGGATTGAGGGTTTTGGGGTTCAGGGCTTTAGGGTTTAAGGTTTAAGGGATCCTATTAGTGTTCTTAAGGGTTCTTTGAAAGGGTCCTAGAAGGGTTCAAGGGATCCTGTTAGGGTTTTAAGGGTTCCTTAAAGGGGCCTTTAAGGGTTTAGAGTTTTAAGGGATCTTCGCGTCTTGGCTTTGCTTCAAGGACCCCTAAAGGGAGTCCCTAAAGGGCTGTACACGGGTGCCGTTGCGGAGTTTAGGGTTTTTAGGGGATCTTAAACGGGGTTCTGTACGGGTTGTTTAGGGTTGAGGAGATGCATTTCTCTTCTTTCGCAGGCGTTGGTTATTCCAGGTAAGCGTACTTTTTAGCGGTAGTCTTCCGAATTCCTTTGAATCTTAGGTGGAGCTCTTGTGCAGAACCGCCCCACAGGCCTGTGAAAGGCATGTAGAGGTCTGGATCCTTGACGCGAATTCCTATCACACCAAGGCTGAGAAATCCTGAGACGTTGAATAGGCCCATGAACTCCTCCTCTTAGGACCAGGGGCCTGGGCCTCGGGGAGCCAAGGAACGCCTACGTGAAGCAGCGGAAGCAGCGGAATCCCAACTCGACGTTGCTCTTCGTGCTGTTGGTGGGGGACAACTTCTACTGGATGCTCGGGCTTCTCTCAATTATCGGGGCCTTAGGGCCTTTATCATTGGAATAGGATTTTGGGGTACAAGTTCGCGCAACTATGAAAAAGACCGCTATCAAACAGTGTTGGTGATTATTCAGGCGTCTATGTTTGAATGCTGGTTGCTGAGTTTTTGGGTTTAGCCGCGGAAGCGGCCGCAGAGACGACGGCATGACGAAGACGACGACGACCGCGACGGCTGCAAGACTCCACCACCACCACCACCACCACCACCACCACCCCCTCCGTCATCAGTTGCAAACATTGCATTGTTCCCAGTTCATTCGCTACCAAAAGCTTTAGCTGTTTGGCCAGCCAAAAGACGTGTTGCACCTCCAGAGACTCCAATATCCCTTAATCAAGGAATGTACCTTAAATTGTAGTAGGATCCCTTAAAGGGACCCTTAAAGGAACCCTTTTTGGAACCCCCCATTAAGGGATCTACTTTTTGGATCCTCCAAAGGGGGTCTGGGGAATCACAGTGCTAAGCCCCATGATCCTCCAAGTATGCTGTCAGCAGACGAAAAGAAGGGGATAACGCAGGGGGCTTCCCAATAATACTTTAGTAGATAAGAGGGATAATACAGGGAACTTCTTCTTTGATGCTTATACCATGGATATACGGTTGAAGTCGAGAGACTCGACATGTCATGTCCAAGAGGTTTGACGAGACTTTGCGGTCTGGAATGGCTCAGAACGTGAAAAGTTTTGCAGTACGTCCACAAAGTAATCCGCGCCTCAGCTCTGACGAAACGGAAAGAAGGATTATATAGGGGCTTGAGTATTTAGCAACAAAAGTCCTCGAAGTTCCGTAACATGGTTATATTATATTGCAATATACCCCAAAGCCATTAGCCGAGGATGGGATGCAGCCCAGGGCGGTTCGAACCCACTTGGCGCAGCGTATACAGAGAGTTGGCCGAGTACCCTTGGTTTGCCGTCTTTGGGAACCATGCGCCTGGGTGCAAACTCCCTCGGTCCATCTTGTATTAAAGACGTGCGAACCCACAAAGCCTGTAGCTATCGATACCTTCAGAAAACGGCTGTGTGAGGCTTCAACCGACCCTATCATCACCAGTACATCAGCACGATGCCCTCGTATTGACATCGAAGATGTCCAAGATCATTGCAGTGTGCGGTCATTGTGTTTTTGATATATGGGTCTGGCTTGATACGCTTCAGCACAAATCATGACACGTCCTGTACTTTTGTGCAGCCACGGAGGACTATGGCAATGACGACCCCAAGTGCCTCTGCCCCTTCTTCCATGAGCGGGTGCGCTGCGGCCCGAACAGTACCCGTGCTGAATATTCGTAATATAGGGGCCTGAACAATTACGAACAGTATTCCTTAGGGTTCCTATCAGAACTGAGCCACAATGCACCTTCTTCTAATTTTAAGACTCCTATATTATGCAGCAGGATGTCGCGTCGGTTTTCCATCACTAAAGCATTTGCGAGTAGCGGAGCACTCACAATTCAGGTCCCTTTTTGGGTCCTTATGATAATATGCCACGTAATATTTAGGGCACCCAAAACGGGACCGAGTTTTGACAACCACCCTCATGTTACTCAGAAGCGCAGCTCTACGGGCGAAGGCTTTAGGGTCTGTTTTTTGAGGAGGGTCGTTTATAGGGTCCCTAAGGGTTTAGGGTGGTTCAAGGTGGGAGGGAGCAAGGGATCCTTAGGGAACCTTAAGGGGACCTTAGGGAGCACTAGGGAGAACTAGGGATTAGTAGGTTATCTGACCCCTCTCTTGGTGCGCACCCCCATAAGGATACTCTAAGTCTTTGTGTTTGTTTGGTCTCGCTTATGCCTAGCTTCACGCCTTCAAAGATAGGAGAAGTGAGTGACCCACGGATACGAGCTTAGGAGTTTACGACATCTTTCGTTTGTTGATATAGGGGCCTAAACTATTACCCATACTATATTGGTGTTCCTCATTATAATTGTAGTATAGTGGGCGTGAGAACCCTATTTTGATTATTAAGGCCCCCTTACTAAATGCTTGTAATATTATAATGGCCCTTGTTGGGCCCCTTTCGAAGGATTCCTTTTCAAATTATTAAGGCCCCTATGTTGCGTTGGAAGACTTTCGGGGAGGCTGCTTGAGCCCCGAGGCACCGGGACACCGGGATGTGGTGGCCAGGAGCAGATTTTTTCTTGGCATCTTGGGGTTTAGGTTAGGTACTGCCCCCATACAGTAAGAGTCTGTTATAGCGCTACAATTAAGGTCCCAATATATCAGTTTGTTTTATGCGTATTATTCTCCTATTACTGAGTGGGGGCCGTACCCAAGGTTTAGGGTTTGGGTGTGCAGGGGTTTAGGGTATTGTGGACTGGGAGTTTAAAGTTTGGATCTTTTGTGGGTTTCGGGTTGAGGGTTTCAGATTTGGGTGCCGAGAGGTTCGGGGAGTGCAGGTCCAAGCACTTCTAGGGATTGGGACTTGGGATATGCTTGGGTTTAGGGTTTAGGGTTTAGGGAAAACTTCGAGCATGTTGAAGCATTTGGTTTGGCGCTGAGTTTCAGGGGAAACTTGGCTCGCTTGGCTCGCTCTGGAGTTTTGTTCAGGGTTTACTCGGAGGGGCAGGTGAGTAAGTGGGGGTATAACGGTGGTAACTCCATTCAGGGCACTTGTAACTCTCTACTTATAACCTACCGTACTTACTAAGGCCCCTGCCCCTCCAAGTAGGGTCCAACTGACTGAGGAGCTTCGGTTCGGGTAGCATCAGCGGGCTCAGCATTGAAGTTGATGGCGAGAGTCATATAGGGGTGCAAGAATTGGGAATAGGGTTTTAGGGTATATATCATACTAGCGCTACTTTTCAAGGAAGCCCAAAATGGTCTTTGAGGCCCCTATTTTGCCTGGGACATGGAAGGCCTGCGTACAACTTACGCACCCGCCAGACCTGAAGGCTTAAGGCACCCAGGGCGATAATGCAGGTGCCTTAATAGTTGGAATAGGGTTTTGGAGCCCATTACGAAGGAACCCCAAAAACTGTTTTTGGGAGTTCCTTAATATAGTTATAGTGTAACATACCCCCAAACCCTATTCTAATTATTGAGGCCCCTATACTGCCAGAATCGGCGAAGGAGTCCTACTCCACCGAAGGTCAAAGCTATGCTTGCAATCAGCCACCGGATTGATTCTGGTAGACTTCCTGGGTTTGGAGTACCATACTTGAATACATTTTTTGTACCTGTTCCTTAAAGGAACCATTATGAAATAAAAGTCTATGCTTTTTGCTCACCGGTTACATCAAAGTCCAGACTTTACGCGAGCCCCTAAATCCCAAGACGCTAAATCGATTCCTGTAAAGGGCTAACTATATCCTTCGTGTTCGGCGGCTTGCGGATTTGCTTGAAAGCAGACGAAACAACTTCGACAGTCATGTAGGTGTTCCTTCTGCATGGTGCTATAGTCAAAGGGGAAAAGGAGGGACCTCTTACGGCACCTGTAACCAAGAGTACCCTCATAGATTCGTTACACGAACCCTGTTTGGAACCTTATAGCAACCCCAATCCAGCAATGCCCTTAAAGGAACCCTGCTCTAGCTTCGAATATTTTTTCCATAGTATCCTGGGTCTATAAAAGCTACTATCAAGGCAGTTATAAGGATCTATTGTAGGGGCCTTGATAAATCAGATAGGGTTTTGGAGTGTATGATACTTATATATTCAAAATAAGGAGTCCTCGTTTAATAGTAGCCCTTTTAAAGGAGCCCTTTTCTAAGTGTGAAGGCCCCTAAACCTTAAAACCGATATCATAGAACCCTTACAAAGACCCTTAACGGAACCCGTTAAAGGAAGCCCTAGTCTAATTTTTGATGGCCCCTACATAAAGGCTCCTTCTTGTTAAACTGAGGCGCGACTTACATTCCTGCAGCCCGTATAAGCCCCTTTAAAACAGAACCCTGGAAAGGAGCCCTTTCTAATTTTTAAGGCCCTTCATTAACTACTAAGGCTCCTTGTTTAAACCGAGGCTCGATTCGGAGAAGGGTGGCGTGGACGGCGAGGCGCGGAGGAATTTCCATTCCCCAGACTTCATGCGCCTGGGCGACCTTGAAGTATTCAGAGACTCCAATATCCCTATTTAAGGGGTATACCGTAAATCATAGTAGGATCCCTAAACTGATTCAAGGAATATTCCGTAATGAAGGGATATTGGAGCCTCTGGGCACGTTTTGGTTACGGCAGGGTTTATCGGTAAGGAAGGTAACCAGAGTTGTACTTCGCCACGTGCTTGGGCGACTCCGAGGTCGTTTACTGAAAGGATCATAAGATGCAGTATCTACAGTAAATAAGGTAGCTGTTGTCATACATTCTTATTCTTTGCCTGGGCTCATTAGGGTTTTGAGTCGAGGGTTGAGGGGATTGGACTTTGAGGTTTTTCCAAAAGATCACGGGGGTCAGAAGCTAGATTTCAGGGTAGGTAGTTGACAAATTTGTGCTGTATTCTTATCACCCCAAAGCCTACTACTTTCCTTGATCTTCCAAGTGGGGGACACAACTTCAATCAGCGTGGTAAGCCCTTTGTAATTTAAGTTACCTTCCTTTCGCAGAAGACACGTCAGTGAGTGCTGGTGAAGGGCATACAGGACAAGAACTCTGAGGCTCGGCATAAGCGTGCGAAGCAGCCAGCTCTCCAACACCAGAGCCATACATGCATACATATATATATATATATATATATATGTATATATACATATATGAACACATGTATATTTACATATTTACTTATTTGTTTATACACACACACGTACATGTATAGGTTTTAATAAGTTTAGATGTGCAGCTATATGTATGTAACTGTACGGAACTTACGGAACCAGATATGGATGTGTATACGTGTGTGCATATACATGTGTATGTATATATATATATATATATATATATATATATATACTTATATTTATAACATATATTTATCCATATCGAAAGGAGAGAAGAGAGAGAAAGGGAGGTGCATGTGTGTGTTTATATTAAACTCCAGTACTACATCTGGCTGGAATTTGTATGCCTCTACGTACGTATGTACGTTTGTATATGCGTCTGTGTGCGTGTGCGCATACGCAAATGTAGTACGCGTCGCAGTCATGGCCCATAAAGACAGAAGCTCAAAAGCTCTGAAGCCCTCGGTATTTCAAGTATATTAAACAAAAGCAGCCTTAAGCAACAAAGATTACTTGAGCCGCTACCTTCTGACAAGTTTTTCATGACAAGTTAACAGGATTTGTGTCTACACAAAATAAACCCTTATCGTAACCATTCCGTATGCTAGCCTGTATCGACCGCTTAACAAAGAATCCTGGCAGTAAGGTATTTCTACACCATCCCGGAGTTGGACTTCGAGTTGATCAGCATGCCACTGCTCCCAACAGAGACGCCTCAGGGACTAGTCAGAGTAGTAGCGACAGTTGTAGTTGTAATACAACAAATATGAACCATGGCATTATTGATAATGGTAAAGACAATCCGAGCGCAGAACGTCATAGTGGCAGTACCGGCAGCAGCCAAAAAGCTCGCCGGGTCAATTGGGAAACGTCTCGCGTTCACGATTTCTGTGGTTCATTCGGCAAAATAGAGCATTCGTTGATTGCTGTACAGCTTCAAGACGGTTAGATTCTGTCACGGTGCACTGGACAAGGAACAAAGAGAGATCTCAGAGACTCCAAAACCCTTCGAATTGAGGAATACGGCACAAGTTACGGTACAAGGATCCCCTAATGATTTAGGATAGACTCCTCGGGATTTGGAATCTCTAGGATCCTTGCAAAAATCTGTCAACAGCACCTCTGCCGCTTGTTGGGTTTCGGGGTATAGGGCGTTGGTTTTCGGGTTTTGATTGGGGTGTCGGTTAAGGGCAGCAACTGTCTAAAACCGCGGTGGAAGCTACATTGTCGGTCGTTTCTTTCCTATGTGTGCGAGCCCGCAAACCCGAAGTTTCCCAAATCCCGCTTTCAAAGGGTCCCACATCCTTCTTTTTTTTGTTGAACACGTTTCTTCTGGAGTACCTGAGACCCTCAACCCCTAAACCCCCGCCCACTCAAAACATTCTGAAACCTATAAACCCTAAACCTTCAAAACCCAATTTAAACCTTCAGCTAACTCGGCAAATCTCCAAACCTACACCCCAAAACCCTCTATGATCCCTAAAGTAGACTACCTGGCAAATCAGGGACTACTTAAACCCTCAACCCTCAAAATCCAATATGAATGGTAAAAACCCTCGACCCTCAAAACCCAACATAAATGGTATAAACCCAAAACCCTCAAAACCGTATAAACCCTATACCCTACACTCAGGGACTACAACT